TTTCTTCAGGACAGGACTCAGAAGGTAGTAGTTCATGACCAAGAATCTAGAGAAGAGGCTGTGACCAGCGGAGTTCCGCAGGGCTCAGTATTGGGACCCATCCTGTTTGTGATATATGTCAACGAATTGCCCACATTGGTCCAGTGCGACGCAAAACTGTTTGCAGATGACATGAAGATTTATCGCAAGGTCAGAAATTCAGAGGACTCAGAACAACTTCAGGCAGACCTAGATAGACTCTCGCAATGGACTGAACAATGGCTTCTTGAATTCAACCCCCAAAAGTGTAAAGTGATGCACTGTGGACCACAAAACCCAAAAAGATCTTACAGTATTAGAGGAGTCAAACTAGAAGTCACAGATAAGGAGCGAGACCTGGGGGTGACTATAACAAACGACCTTCGACCTACTAGTCACTGTCAAAGAGCTGCGAGCAAAGCAATGGTAGCTCTCCGAATGATAAAGAGGTCCTTTGACCAAATCACAGCAACAAACTTCACCAGCCTCTTCAACTCATATGTGAGACCACACCTGGACTACTGTATACAAGCTGTGGGTCCCCAAGCTGTTCAAGATATCAGTCTCCTCGAAAACATCCAGCGCAGAGCTACAAGATTGGTGAGGGGGTTAAAGCACAGGCCATACCAAGAAAGACTAAAAGTCCTGAAGACCGTATCTATTAAAGACAGGATAAAAAGAGGCGACTTGATTGAGACGTATAAAATCATGTCAGGGAAGCTCAATGTGAGGAGAGAGAAGTTTTTCAAACTGAGGACGACAAACACAAGAGGTCACCATATGAAATTACACAAGGAGCAGTCAGTCCATCAAGCCAGACAAAGGTTCTTCTCACAGAGGGTGGCTAATGACTGGAACAAGCTACCAGATGATGTTGTGTCTGCTGACACCACTGCTACATTTAAAGCTAAGCTAGATAAGCACCTCCAGCTCAAAGCCAACTGTGACCTGTGACCTCCAACCTCAATGAGTACCCTGACATGTTTCCTTGCCAACAATGACATGGACAACAAATAGCATACTGCTACCCCAAGTCCATTATCTATATACCTATACCTATACCTATAAAAAACAGTTAAAATTCACATGTTCATTGAATTTGCGTGTTAGTGAACCGTTAGATTTTCCGAATTGTTCGCTTTGGAAAGTCATAAATGCTCCAATATCTATACAATTAAGGGTAATCTGCTGCGTCGCTTATGCCGCAAAGCTATTTTGCAAGTATTAAGCGCCTAAATTCACTATTTTTTATTCTAAATGTACAAAAATAAGTAAGCCTTGTTTTTTATCTGTATTATATTATATTTATATTTTTCACCTGACCTTACCTGGAAAGAGAGGGAAGAGGGTAGACGCCTCCGAGAGGAGCTACGAAGGAGGACAGATGCAGGTGAAGTGAACCTCACCATCAGGAAGGGTCGGCTTGTGACAAGAAAACTGGACCTGACTCGGACAGTGGAAGCCGAACTCGTTCGGAGTGGGCCACAAGGTGCAGTAGCACCCCAGCAACATGCTGCATCTCAGAGGCGGACCTTGGCAACCCCAGCGACGGCCCAGACGGGCCAGACCCCGGATCAGGAAAGGTGCTGACAATCCAGGCCGGCAGGACCGAGATATGAAGAAGGTCTCAAGGTACTGTATGCAAATGCAGACCAGTTTGTGAAGAAACGTGATGACCTTTGCATGTTTATTTCGGGAAACGAACCAGACTTCATCTTACTTAATGAAGTCATACCTAAAGCCCAACTCCACCCAATATCCCCAGCCCTTTTGTCTGTACCTGGCTACGTCATGTATCTGAACTTTGACCCCTCGGAAACCAAGCTGGGCTCAAGTGGTATTAGAGGGGTCTGCATTTATGCCAAATCATCACTCCGGGTATCTGAAGTTGTTTTTAAGGATTCAACATTCAGAGAGCAGCTTTGGATAGAAATGCCGCTGGCTAGCTCTGATGTCCTTCTACTTGGCTGTATTTATCGAAGCCCCTCTGGTTCTGCCGAAGAAGATCTAAACAAGATTGGATCTCTATTCAAGCAGGCTACCAGCTCTAGATATACACATGTAATTATTGCAGGCGATTTCAATCTGCCGCAGATCAACTGGCAAGTGGGTCTTTCCTCAGCCCCTCCCTCGCACTGTTCACATGGGTTTGCTGACCTGTTGAACGATGCATTTCTCTACCAGCATGTTGACAAGCCTACCAGATTTAGGCTCGGTGAAACACCCCACACGCTTGATTTAATCTTGTCATCTGAAGAGGCCATGGTTAAGAACTTGGAATATCTGCCTGGCTTGGGGACAAGCGACCACATCATGCTCCAGTTCCAAGTGGCATGCTACTGTCCTCCCATTGAGTCTTTGGAGCGCCACCTCAGTTTCAACAAGGGTAACTTCACACTGCTCAACCAATTAATGTCTGAAGTAGAGTGGCCATCAAGTACGTCTCTAGATACGCACGCCATGTACGATTTTATCAAGGCCAAACTCTTGGAACACTCTACCACTTGCATACCCTTTACCAAGTCAAAACGGAAAAACAAGAATATCTACATTAATGACGAAGCCATTCGGTTAAAGAAGCAAAAACGGACACTGTGGCTGCAGTACATGCAAACCAGAGACACGATCGACTATGCCCGATTCTGTCGTGCGCGCAACAAGCTCCGAACACTCACTCGGAACCTGCGGGCGAATTTCGAGAGACATCTGGCGACGAATCTACGAACGAACGCTAAAGGGTTCTGGCGGTATGCAGGCACTCGACTACGGACCAAGACTAGAGTGGAGGACTTGAAAGCAGAGGACGGAACGATGATTCGTGGGGATCGTGATAAGGCTAACCTGCTCAATCACTTCTTCCACAGCGTGTTCACGACCGAGGACCCCGTTCTGCCGGCACCACCACCTGTTTACCCTGGACCCCCACTGACCAACATTGATATCAGCACTGGTGCGGTCAGGGAGAAACTGCTGAACCTAAAGATAGACAGCTCTCAGGGACCGGACGGACTGCATCCTCGCATCCTGCGGGAAACGGCACTGGTTATGGCAGAACCATGGGCGCGCCTCTTCCGTTCTTCATTGAACAACTCCACCTTACCAAGCGACTGGCGCAGGGATGAGATCGTCCCCATTTTTAAGAAGGGAGTGAAGGACAGCCCTGCAAATTACCGACCAGTGACATTGACGGCCGTGCCATGCAAGGTCCTTGAATCATTGGTTCGTGACCAGATGATGACGTTCCTCATCGATACTGATCAGCTGAGCAACCTGCAACATGGCTTCAGACAGAAGAGGTCGTGTTCTACGCAGCTTCTTGAAACTGTTGAAGATTGGACCCGTGCTCTGGAGGAAGGAGACCCGGTCGATGCCCTATACTTGGACTTTAGTAAGGCGTTCAATTCGGTACCCCACCAGCGCCTACTGTTGAAGCTCCAATCTTGTGGTATTGGGGGTCGCCTACTTGAGTGGATCAGGGCATTCCTTACTGACCGACAGCAGCGCGTGACAATTAATGGTACAAAGTCGGACTGGGTTTCAGTTACCAGCGGCGTACCACAGGGGACGGTTCTAGGTCCCTTGTTGTTCCTGGTCTTTGTTAATGACTTGCCGGCCTGTGTCTCATCAGGGCTTAAGCTATTCGCAGACGACACAAAACTCTATAGAAGTGTCGGTCAGGCTGCGGATACTGTAACCTTGCAGAGAGACCTCGACGCTCTGCTGAGATGGTCCGAAAACTGGCAGCTTCCCTTCAACCAGTCGAAGTGCAAGTCCCTGCACCTGGGTCTTCGAAACGCCAATCATATATACCACATGGGAGACACCCAGTTAGAACAGACTTTGGTGGAAAAGGACCTGGGAGTCAAGATAGACAGCCAGCTCAAGTTTCGGGAACAGGCCGCCGCTGTCATAGCCAGAGCGTCGCACATCCTGACTGTCATCCGACGATCTTTCGGAGTCATTGACGAGATTACACTTCCAATGCTCTACCGGACTATGGTTCGCCCCCACCTTGAGTACGCCAACGTGGTGTGGGGACCTTTCAACCGAGAAGATCAGAAGCGCATTGAGCGTGTACAGCGGAGAGCCACGAGACTGGTTGCCAGCATCCGCCACTTGCCATACGAGGAGAGACTTCGGAGCCTGGACTTGCCATCGCTCTACTATCGGCGCCGACGGGGCGACATGATCTCGGTCTACCAGGTGCTTCGATGGGGAGTGGATGTTGACCCATCCCAATTCTTTACCGCGGCAACAACGACCAGAACTCGGGGACACGAGTGGAAACTGTCCAAACCAAGAGCTGTCTCCAGGGTGCGGCGGAACGCCTTCAGCATACGAGTCCTAAACGACTGGAACTCTCTGCCCCCTGCTGTGGTCGATGCGCCCTCTGTCAACAGTTTCAAGGCCAGGCTTGACAAACACTGGGCTCACGCCAAGTACACCTTACACTTCAATGACTGATGCAGTGACACACTGACACATAGCTCGTCACGTCCGGATCCAAGAGGCCGTAAGGCCTTCCTAAATTCCGCATACTATAAGTATAAGTAAGTAAGTATAAGTATATTTCTTATCCTAGGAAATGGAAAGGTTTTAGAAGAGATATAGGTGGAAATTACCCTCACTTTGAGCTTGAGCCGATATCAATTTATAGTCAATCTTGAGGAGTTTGGGAGCGTTTCCACCTGTTTAGCCTTACCAACTGGCCATCAAACTATGAACCAGATGTTATTGAAATGTGTTTAACCATTGCAGAGTAAGTTGAAGTTATTTGCAGGCCATCCCCCTCCTATATATACCAACATGATAATTGATGTTTTCCTAATGCTAATGACTGCAGCATTTCAAAGCTGTGCTAGTCTATAGAAGACAAGCTACCTACCAAGTAACTCCAGAACTGCAAAGAGTAGCTTGAGCTGGAAGCCCTGTTTCTATCAGTGGTAAAAGTCATAGTTAGTTACTTTTTATTTCTATTCCAGAGAGGAAGGGGTGAGCTGAGAGCTCAACCGGTCACCGCCATGCCTCTGTGGGGGAAATCTCAGAAGAACCCCACAGATGTGGTGCGGGCGATCCGTGATGGCCTCACTGCCCTCGAGAAGGGTGACAAGAAGACAGAGAAGGTGAGAGAAATGGCTTTTAAATGGCTGCTGATCAGGATCATTGTATCGTTATGACAAATTGAAATTAATTTGGTTATCCGCAAATGATCAGATGGAATTCAGTTTGGATTTATTTGTTATTATTGGCGTATAGGACTTTGAACTCAGTGTGCTCCAATGATCAATGCCCCAATCAGCCAATGAACCCAAATGTCAAAACATAAAGGCTCTGAAGACAAGTCTGTATTATGCCATGTCGCTGACTCTGACCTCCGACCTCCTCCGCGGCAGGCTCTGGAGGATGTCAGTAAAAACCTCGGTCACATGAAGACGATGCTGTTCGGCTCAGCCGACCAGGAGGCTCAGTCGGAGCACCAGCTGGCCAGCCTGGCGCAGGAGATCTACAACGCCAACCTGCTCTACCTGCTCGTCAGAAACCTGGCCAAAATCGACTTCGAGGTGAGCGTACCGAAAAGCGAGAAATGTACCGACACATTATGGCTAGGCGAGCTACAAACCACATGGGATATGCACATTGATAACGTAGTAGAGATAACGCTAATATCGAATATCGGAAGAAATTTAGTCGGGTGTTGAAACATTCATGTCACGCGATTCTGTCCATGATCGCATTTCGCTATTAGTTTCTGAGCTGCTTACGAGTACATGGTACCAGTCGTGCCGTTCTTCCGTTGAGTCGGTAGCTCAAGTATCGTATCTAGGAGTGGCCGACCCTTGGCCCCTCGTTTGGCGGTGAACTTTGCATTCGCCGTCGATATCTGAGACGCATGATGACTTTGATCTTGTGCATTCTCACGAGCGTTGCTAAGCGCTTTGAGTTACCTGGCGAGGCACCCTCCACGAGGATATTTTATCGTCGGGAATAGAGATTGCTGTTTCTGTAATAATATGATGAAAAAACTTCCTGCCTGTGATGAATGGTAACAGCTTCCTATTCAAAAGACACCCTGGTCCTTCCATTATCAGCTTTTTCACTGCAGCTAATAGCAAAATTACTAATTGCAGCCATTTAACCTTCGCCCCAGTGGGGGGGGGGGGCATATGTTACCACCCTGTCGCGTTTTTTGCGTGTTAATAAAAAACCGCGCCGCGCCGCTTGGGGTAGCTTTTGGTACATCAATTTTGGACAATGTGTGAAATTTTTTACCCCAGGTCATGTCAGGTCAGGTCACCAGGTCAAGTTAACTGACCAAGCCTAAAAAAGTTTGCATTCATGTCCAGCCTGCAGTGTTTGTCAGAAAGGTTTCAAACTTGGTGTATTGCATGCTGGTATGGGCGCCTACAATTTGTATATCTCGGATTTTTTATATCCGTGACCTAAGGTCAGGTCAGTGGCGTGACCTTTCCATACAAGTCAATGGAGAAAAATGAAAATGCCTCTAGATCCGTGTGTACGCATCGGAACAGTCCAAATATTTCAGAATCACAATGATTTAGTCCACTCGTGATGACCAAGGTGTCATTTTTGCTGATAGCCTCTAGACAGGTCATCCGAGGTCACTTGAGGCTATAAACAGTTTTTTTGCCAATAACTCGCGATTGAAAAGAGATAGAACGCTGGGGATGGTCTCATTGTGTTTGCCTTGTTGAGACGCATCGACTGATATGCAACATGACCTTTTCCGGTACCTAAGGTAATGACCTTGACCTGAGGTCAAATTTTCAACTTGACCTTTCAAGGTCAAATTATAGTTCATTCGACGCGTCTCGGCGAGAGGAACACGATTCTGGCAATAGAAATGTCGTGGCTTTTTGTAGTCGAAAGTTATTGTCGAAAAAAAACTTTTCGTAAAAAACAGCTATTTTTGGACTTTTTGCCCTCTGGAGGCTAAACCGTTGACCTGAGGTCAATATTGATAATGAACTTTTCAAAAGAAGAGTTCAAAAGCTATCAATTGCTCTTCCCTGCGTTATTCTAGCTACCATAGTTCCTGAGATAGCGGCATGTTTTCTGAAAAATATAATGACAATTGGCAAATTTTGACCTTTGATGACCTCTGGTGACCCCAATATTGCTCTAAGGTGAAAAATGACCGAAATACTTTCAAACGTACGCATTGAGAGCTATCGACTGCTTTTTACCGCGTCTTTCTAGCCCTCTTAGTTTTTGAGTTAGAGGTGGGTGGTAACATATGCCCCCCCCCCCCCCCACTAGGGCGAAGTTGGCTGAGACCGCCACTGGGGCGCGGGTTAACTGATTGTCGATAATATCGATACCACGATGCTGTCATATTGGCTTGCTGCGATAGCATTGGGGATAATAACCTTTTTACTCGCCATGTTGCAGTGGAGTGGGACTTTACAGATATGTTGAGTTCCAAGCTCACCGAGTGTGTTGGTTGTCGCCATTCTGGCCGGTGCTTGCGTTTATGAATATCTACCGTGTGATTCTCTTTTTGCAGGGTAAGAAGGATGCCACACAGATCTTCAACAACATCCTACGACGGCAGATCGGCAGCAGGTCACCCACAGTGGAGCACATCTGCACCAAAACGGAAATACTCTTCTGCCTCATGAAGGGGTAAGTGCGAAACAACATCTAATCGTAGCCCGGACTTATGTGATTGCGAAGTAAGATGATTAACTGTGCCCTGTCGTTGAAGATATTGTTTTTAATCGCTCGATGGTCCTGATAATGTGACTTGCTATCGTCGTTGTCTAATGCTCTTACAAGAGCCGCGAAAGGGCTGACGCAATGTTTTGAATGTCGGTTCACCTTGAGCTATCGATTATGAGAAAGGTTTGCCGATTAGATCGTACTCTATTACATGAGATTGCCTGTGTTTACCGATTGCTTGCAATGCAAGTGGGGCCAACAGAAAATTGATGTTTTCTGTTTTCTTACATTACTGTGCTTTTTTGCGTAGCATATCTGCTGTATATGTATGCTTCGTCAGTTGCCAGTGTGATGCCATCTCATCAGAAACTATGCATGCTTCCTAAATGTGATCCCATCCGTACCGCCTATCAACCGTAACCGTTCGCCTAGCCTGCCAGGCATTCGGCATTTTCCGGCTCGGTAGCCGGTGTGAACCCAGCATTAAACCGCTGACCACCCACCACTGGCTGTCTACAGGTACGAGCATCAGGAGGTGGCCCTCCACTGCGGCTCCATGATGCGGGAGTGCGCCCGATACGAACCGCTCGCCAAAATCATGCTCTACTCGGAGGAGTTTTACAACTTCTTCACCTACGTCGAGGTCTCGACGTTCGACATCGCATCGGATGCCTTCTCAACGTTCAAGGTAGGTAGAGGCCAGTGAGGCACGAGGGTCGACAACAGAATGTCGGGTTCGGGCTAGTACAATTTAATGAACGATGGAGCGAGGGACCGATATTGTATTGCGGATAACCAATATCGTATGTCGGTATGTCGGTCTGCGGAAGAAATGTGCATAAAGCATGGTGATTTTCCCTCTATTTGTAATGCATATGAGGAAAAGGTGGCGATTTTTTTTAGATGTGCTCATAATTTAGATTTTCTTTGTTGCTTTTGCATTGACATTCCGTACGTATGTCTTATCGACTCAAACGTAAACCCCGCAGCGTTGCAACTATTGAGGTTCACTTGACACTGACCCCTTCCCCGCCTTCTTTCTGCAGGAACTGCTCACGAAGCACAAGCTGATGTGTGCCGAGTTCCTGGAGCAGAACTACGAGCGGGTGTTTGACCAGCACTACAAGCAGCTGCTGCACTCTGAGAACTACGTGACGCGCCGGCAGTCGCTGAAGCTGCTGGGCGAGCTGCTGCTCGACCGGCACAACTTCACCGTCATGACCAAGTACATATCCAGCCCCGACAACCTGAAGCTGATGATGAACATGCTCAGGGAGCGATCCAGAAATATCCAGTTCGAGGCCTTCCATGTGTTCAAGGTGAGAGGTCCCTGAGTGAGGGCTTGTCGACTCTGATATCTGAGAAACTTAGAAAGTGAACTTTTAGTTCAAAGCCGTTCAGGGGGTTCCGAGATGTTACCAAAAAGCCTGCTACCGAGTGCGCGATTACCGCTATCGAATGCTCGATAATTATTTGGCTTTTATAGCCACGCTATTCATTGTGGCACTTTGAAACTTTCGTTCTTGATCATTGTTCATGATAATATCGACCGTCAGAGTTAGCCAAAATCACCGCGCCGTTCTGACTCAGCCAGTTACGACTTGCGATATTCGGTATACAAAATGGCATTCTGGACATATTTTGGCGATATTCGGTATACAAAATGGCATTCTGGACATATTTTGCTGACCGACTTTGATTACTCTCACCCACATCGGCGATGATTTTGCTCCCAGTCAAATCAGCATGCCTCCCTTTGCCCACAGGTCTTCGTGGCGAATCCGAACAAGCCCAAGCCGATCCTGGATATCTTGTTACGGAACCAGGAGCGGCTGGTCGACTTCCTCACGCGTTTCCACACCGATCGCAGTGAAGACGAACAGTTCAATGACGAAAAGGCGTATCTTATAAAGCAGATCAAAGAGCTAAAACCCATGGCGGACCAGTAGTGAGTGAGCCATACGAATGGCATGGGTGTGTCTGCGCAGGAGCGTGGTGGCCGTTCGGCAAGCTGGAGTTGTACAGGTGGCCTATAGATGGCAGCAGCGCTGCTAAGGTCACCGGACAGCGCACGTGATTGGTGCTGACGTCGCTTCCACTGCCATGTAACGTAGTGGGCGGACACAGGAAGAGAAAACTCTCCTAAACGTCCACCATCTGCCAGCCGAGTCCCACGATGGGTCGGCATCAGACAGCAACTGAGCAGCAGCTAGGCATCCGCCCGCCCCTTCCCTGTTATATCATATCGTGTAAATGCCTGAGCGTCGATTGTCCAATGTCAGCCACGATCGAGATACTAGACGGCTGGCAGGCGGCCGTGTTTGTTTGACTATTTGAGGCGGCTCCGGTGGCGCCGCCCGGCGGTGACCTTGACAACCATCCGCCGGTTGCCATGACGACGGCGGCGTGTCCATATCGTCGGCTGTGGGTACCGCCAGTCGGCGATGATAGTGCCAGTGGGGGGGGGGGGGGGGGGGAGGTGATACCGCTCCGTGCGTAGCGCCCGGCTGAGTGTCTGAAACTCGCGAGTTGTGCGTAATATGATATAAATGTGGGGTATTAAACTGAGATTAATATCGTGAGGAGCTACCTGTAACGTCATGGTACCCGTCTTGTGTCAAAAGTGTGCTTGTTGCCCTGCCTAAGGTTATTTGGCAGCAAATCTGTAGTGGAGTCGAGAGGTGGTGCTGTCTGTTAACGGCGATTGCAACTGTTCAGAATATTGCTGGTAATCTACATTTAACTTGCCTGTTTTGGTCATGTTATTTTAGGTCAATCCCCCAAAAGGAGAGGCTTCAATAGAAATCGGCTACCGGGGCAGTCTTCAAAATGTTGTGCGGTGCATTTGGCAAAATCGTTTTTCTTCCTCGTATTAAACATTTGATCAAGTAATACACCTTAATTTACTTCTTCCCAACGTGTCTTTTATATATACGAGGAAATTTTCTGAGGACCTTGGAGTAGACGGTTTGGAAGATAATTATCTCGGGCGTTGTGTGTTTCATGTCTCCACATTTTTTTTTTCTTCGCGTGTACAGCCCACCGCTAAAGTAATGTGTGGTTTTACCAATCTCAACGGATGGCTTTGACCGACGATTTTTAAATGCGGACTGATTGAAAAGAAGACGTCAATAGATAAAGTTGTAGCTGCAAGGGTGAAGACACGTGTAAGCTATATTTAAAGTCTCGTTGCAGTCTGGCTTATCGTTCCTAGGCTTCAGAAGCAGAAAGAACATACCGATGACTGAAACCACACATTACTTCTGCTGTGGACTGTACATCAGCCAATCAGCCGCTAGCATGCTGTGAGCGTTGAAGATCAAGATACCTTTTGAGTTGGCGAAAAGTTTCCAGAGAATGTAAACCGGAACGCGAAATGACACTTTCAAATGGACATAAGAGCAGCTGTGGCGACTGCTTCCCCATCCCTTACCCCTAAGCTGCATTTTGATATGAGAAGGTTCATGTCCTGTCGATGCAGTGAAAGCTCACATAAATAAGTGTAGAATATCTGATTGTATACATGTATTGAGGATTTTGCACGGGGGACACACGGGTCGTATAAAACAGGTAACAATTTCCTTCGTACTTCGACAAGAGACAATCTATGACGTGAGACGTACCGATTCGATAACAGCCTTGGAATGAAAGACGTTAATGCAACCTACCAAAAAGGCATTCAGGGATAAAAGACTCAAGGACTTCAATATGATAAACAACGTCCTATTGCTATTCTATCGACTCAACCCTTATCTCGTTACACCGTTTATCGTATCGTAGGGCTCAGCCATCGGTCGACTGTGGCGTCCTCTATACGGCGCCTGTGCTGCCCTCAGGCGGTGATTCCGGAAGGCGCCGCGGCGTCCTGCTGCCAGTCCTCTCGTGCGCCGTCCGTCCAGTCTGGCTCGTAGGTCTCCAGCCGCTCCAGGAGGTGCTCCGAGTAGCCCGGGCTGTAGTATCTGTAGAGCGAGAAATAATGTCAGAAGATAGTCAACATGCGCAGCACTAGCCAGTTCTGGAATACTGATCGAAGCCACGCATCACCACAGCTCAGACCTGAGATGTCGAGTCAAATATCAGCGACTGTGGTGACTGTTTCTAGTAACTCTGGGGCCAATGTGACGTTGTCGGCCTACCTGACGATCTCCTCGGGGAAGCAGTTGTTGATGGTGTTGATGTACTCGCGCAGCTCCGTTCCCGGCTCGGCCTGGATCTCCTGTACCTTTCTCAGGCAGCCGGAGGTGACAAATTGCCGGCGCGCCTGCGGGTCGTGCGGCAGCACCTGCAACAGAAGAGGGCGGAACGGCGGGATCAGTATGAGTGGTATCATGAGAGAGCTTCGGTCTAAAAGACTTCTGAGATGCATGGCTTAGATTTCTTTAAAAAAAAAAACGTTTGCATCTGTTCAATACCACGGATACCTATCGGAAAATTCCACCTTATGTAAAAACGAACTAGTAAGTCAATCTAAAACGGTCAAGCCAATCAGTTGTTCGATGCGCAGTACACGCAATATTCTTAGTAATGGTCCTTCCAACATTCAACAAGCAGTGCGACGTGTCCTTGGGCTTCAAATACGCACTCTCTTGGGAAAGCAGCATTAATACAAACGCGGATATGCATGTTGCATGTGCGATTCCGAGTCGTTTGTCCGGCTGAAGTGACTTCACACGACCTCAAACACCTGATGCTGCGTAGTGGTGTATTTGCGGAGTGGCACGCGACTGACGCAAGTTCCTCAAGCGTGCTAACTTATTCCGTATCTTGAGAATTGGGTGTCCGCGAAGGCTACGTGCCGAGAACGGTGCAGCAATAATGTCTGGTTATTTTTGTCAAGCTGGGACGTACGACATTAAAACTTGCGCAGTTTGTATGTACATAAATTTTTCCAGAGCATCCAGCATAATTTCAGACCCATATTTCTAAATCAACATACTTGAGGGACGAAGCTCGACACATGCAGAGCCGAGCTTCAAACGATTGGCTTTCGACCAAAAACTTGCAAATAAGGCTGCGCTGTGTGACGCCCGTGCATCCACCAGGAAAACCATGGACAGAACCAATGGAAACAAGCAGGATTCATAATAAACTCATGGTGAAAGGGAGAAATGAAAACCGAAGCATCTTGTGACGAGCGTGTCGCCCAAATTATCCCACGACCACAATCATTCCCGGCAGCATATCAAACAAAAGTTAAATTAATCACCCAAATGAGCCACTGTGGTATCGACCACACCGGCAGACGCCGATCCCGACTGGTCACGTGACCTGGAAGCCGTGGATCCCACCTGGTCACGTGACCTAGCAGGTCATCACCCGGTTGTGTGACGCCTCTGGGGAAGACAGTAGGACGATGGGTGGTACTGAGGGCGGCTCGGAGACCCGTAGCTGCGCGGGTTTGTGACCGGTACGGTAGTGAAGCCTCGTGCCAGTTCGGAGGTTGCGTCTAATGGTTGATGAGTAATGTGCAACAGAAATCAAAGATAGTGGATAGAAAAGAGTGCAGCAGCTTGGCGACGGTGACAACTATAAGCCAAAGTTGACGGTAGCCGGATTTATGTAAGGAGTTCACTTGACAGAGAATGCGGAATATATGACGGTGCAAGACTACGGTCGACAAGTCAGCTCCACCCTCCGGTCAGAGTGCAGGCGGAACCGGGTCCACCGACCTAGCCAAGCCTGACAAGCCGACGTGTCCATCAGCGACACGGTGATCGTGTCTGTGGGCAGTATCAGTTCCCCAGCCGCGATTGGCATCCATCAGCGTCTCTATTGACTGGCCGACCGGCCGACCGACCGGCCCGAGGGCACCGGTCGCCGCCTGGCACCGCCTGACCCGGCCCGGGCCGGACCGACACGGTACGGTAGCGCAGTTCGGTCTGCAGCCGGGGCAGCACGGGGTCACTGGTACGACGGCCTGTTCGGCGGAGACAACGGCTGGGAAGAGGTCGACAGTCAGCACTGCTTGTTGGCGTCTTGAGACAGAGATCGTCTTCCAGATACGGCCTGACGTCCAGCGAGATTTCCGACCTTCCAGGCAGCTTCAGGACGGGAGGTAAGAGCGATTTACTCTGTATGCACCAAACTCCATGCACCGTAAATAACAATTTTCACCTTACCGCAGCAGACATGAGTGTCCTCTCTATCCAGTCTGACGACGTGCTTGCCGCTCGATTCCAAGACACAATGTCACGAACATGCTACGACTTACAGGCTTCCTGCATCCGGGTGGCATGTGGCAGTAAGCCCCATCGACACTGGAGTGCATGTCCTACAGCACTGGTGCTACGCCGGGGAAGCACGGGAGGGGTCGGGGAGGGGTCATGGCGGCTGAGCTCCCGACACCACGACAGATTAGCCGTGGTCGGTCGGTCGCGGCCGACCACTTCCGGCTGGGGAATTGACCGCAGGCACCGCCCACTTGGCTCAGCCGACATGCATGCGCCGGGTCAATAAGTGATGCTGAATTGAATGTAGGCTTTAGTTTGAGTTGAGAAGCGTAATGTGCTCATTCGTCAAAGCCCTTGACTCTCAATTGATGATCAGTTTTACATTCGTTGCTCAATAATGCGATCTCAGGGCAATGGAATGGAATGATAGGCAGCTATGAGCTAAGCATGATTCATGACTCGAAAGCGTCTGTGGCACGACGGTCAAGAGGCGGAACTGAGGTAAATCAATGCAGGAAAGCGTCATCGGAGTGTAAAAATCATTCAGACGTATCGTAATCGGCAGGCGTAATATGCTGAATCTGTTCAATGCATGCCAATCAACGCCAACAAATCGTCACTCGGGCCTTGCACTTTGATCAAGATAAATTAAATTATTGGCACACAAGCTGTTGAGCAATCGAATATAAATGAGCAATGTGTCATGTGCATCGCCTTTCACGTGCCATTCATCGCATGCGTTGCGTGTTTTCTTCAAACGTGACTAAGGAGCCGATGTATAATTGATGACCTGCAACACTGAAACGCTTCCTCGTAACATTAAATCGGGCACTGTTCCTACATTGACCACACCATATACAGGCGCATGAGGCAAAAAAGTTAGGGATTGAACAGCATCGCAAGATTGTCTCCCCTGGCATCTCAGAAGAGAAGACAGACAGAGAACGAAACAAACTTCAACTCCATTCAATACCTCCCTCATCAAGCGGCCTCTACAGTCGGCGATCCCATTCCCCACCCACCAGTCTGTGACCTGGCCGCAGGTCACCGACTCCACCTGCTCTGACGCACCGTCACTGGCCGAATCATCCCCCCTCTCCTGCCGTCCCACGTCACTGAACATCACCCACCGTACCGTCAGACGTCAGCACGACCCCGCTGACGTCACGGCACCGCGAATCCCGGCGTCATCGGGGCGTTTTCAGCGTCCAAACGGCTCAGTCTGCTTGGCCAGTCGAGCGGTAGCCGGTAGGTAACTGACGCCGCGCCGATGGGTGCACTTGGCACGCCTTCATCGAAAACTTCCAGCTCTGTCGGCTCGACTGCCAACGTGCGTCACGCCGTCTCCCGGTAGTGTGTTGACCGCGGTTCAGATGGATGAGCCCGTGAGGAGACAGAGTGCGTGACGCACTGAGTGGACTGCTTTACACTGCGTGCGTCAGTGCTGTCTGTGAGTTGTGGTTCCGCGTCAGTCTGTGCGGTGTTGAAAAACACGTCACTGGTCGCAGTTCGCACGCTCGGGCCTGTGCGTCAGCCGATAAGATAGTTCGCTGTTGGGTGCATAAAGGCGCTGATATGCGCCAAGGTTCGACTGATCAGGGTAGAAATAGAGGTTTCAACCTCGATCATTTCGAGAGTCACTTCAGCTGCTCGAAGCGGCATGGGGAATCCCGTAACAACCAAACTAACGAAGAGCCAAACGGGATATTCGATAGTTGGCGATTTTATGGAGCACTGAATAAATTAAAATTCGTAATAAAATCAGCTACATCAAGATGAGGTAACGTATGAACAGAACTTTCAGCAGAAAACAACCGGGATGTAGTCAAAAGGTGACCCCGGTGACCTAAGCCACCATCATGGAGGAGAATTGGGTTAGTGGCTAAAGTGAACGTCTCGAAGCTTGCATGGCTTCGCTCCTGCGCCTGACCTCATTCATGATCGACCTGGGGTTAGGCATAACAGAGCTGAAGGCCAAAGCCGTCAAAGCTTCACGATTTACGTCATAAGTGCTTTCAGAGGCCGAAGCGGCCCCAAAAATAGCAGCGGGCTCACCGTCCGGCAGCACCAGTCTGCCCGTAGAAACTAAGGGCCAGGACAACAATTAGATAATGCAGAAACGGTTACCAACGCTCTCACTCTTCAAAACATTTTCCAAAAATGGAGTCAGACTATATATCAGACTATATGTATAGCAAGTTAATTTCTAACATGTTACGCACACATGCATGACACAAGCATGGACATCTGCCCCCAAAATAACACAGCCAAAATAGCGGCTCTTCTAAAGCCCCTTTTCATCAGACGTGCATCAAAGCCATTTGGGTGAAGCCAACCGTGCACGAATGGGCCCAGACGGACCCCAAAGATCCCTCCGGCTCGACACGTGGCGCGGCGGGCTGTTCGCCTCCCACACCCACGGAGCTCACGTGTCTGCCGGGCGCAAATTATGTAGGTGCCGGTGCACGGCCCACGTCTTCGCACCTCAATGGGGCGATGGTTCAGCGCGGTGTTCAGTATGCATAGCACGCGCTTATCGCGATTGAGTCGACGGCCGCGTGTGGGAGGCAGAAGTGTCAGGGAGATCTCCTTGTCTGTCGAACGGAATAATGTGACTGCAGCAGCCGGGCAGGGTGACGCCGAAACGCGCAAAGCGTGCCCTGTCCCCTGCACCAGTGGGATTATCGTTGAACATAGCACAAATAGGTACATACCGATACATGAACAATGAGCATATAAATGGATATGCCGATGTTTAGAAATACATCATATAACCATGAACATTCAATATATCCCATATGCGACCCTGGCTGCTAGCACACGATAAACATGCGACCCTGGCTGCTAGCACACGATAAAAGCTTCGTCAGCGCCCACCCAGAGCGCTAACGGCCGCCGCCCGGCCCGTCCAAGCCCGATAAACACGGCGTAATTTCCTGAATGGAACAAACGAGCAGCGTTCATCAGCTCGGGGCGGCCCTGCTGCAGTGATGACACACCATCAGACTGCAGGCGGGCATCAGTCGTCGACCACGGCGCCATAATCGACAGAAATCACTCGTCTGCTGTCGATCGTTACCGTCTCAGTTGGAAATAATCGTCTCAGTTATAG